CACTATCGAAAGGCCAAAAAGTAGGCTTTTATCTTTAAATCGTCGCATTCATTTTCCCTTCAATTACAGCAAAAGGCCAGCAAAATCCCGGCAATTTATTGTTTGTTGGGTAGGGTGGATAAAGCTGCAATTGATTTAATAGTGAATATTTTGGAAAAACCGTCTTTGGGTATTCACATATGCTTTTTTAAAATAAGCATAGGTGATTGGCCTACGACGTTTTCTTCAATCATAATAATAAAAAATGTCCCATTTGGATTCAACTTTATGGCACACACTGCAAACTATATAGTTTTTTTTTTGTTTGGTTTTGATAATTTTTATTTTATACGAATCAATTTGGCAATGACGTTAATGACCCAATTTAAAGGAATAAGGTCATGCTGATAACTTTGAGATATGAATGTAATTTCTCAGTTTCTGATCTTGATAATATGTGGAAATTCCATTCAGAAATAATAATTTAGGTATATCATATTGTTTGCTTCCTGTTACCGAATACTTACCTCCTTATGTCATTGTTCTTACCGAAAATTAATTCAAATATATGACGTATTGCCTTGACAGAGCAATAAAAACGTGTAGAACTAAATTATTATATTCTAACCTCTCAGTTGAAAGGTCTAGGTCACAGTGCAGACACACCTAAGTCATTTGTTTCCTATTTCTCCGAAGTAATCCCTTCTTATGTCAAGACAATTTATTGATTAAGAACTTAATGAAATGATTCATTATCCAAAAGTAGGTGAATGTATGGTGGATTCTCAAAGTGTGGGATGTAAGATACGGATATTTTATTTCTTGAACATGTGGGTAACGAAATGCAACGGTTAAAACATGCTATAAATTGCAAAATAATAAAGAAACTAAATTTAAAATACTTATATAGAAAGAGAGAAATGGGTAGGTAAAGACAATATTTGAAACTGCATAGCAAACAGGTATTACCTATGAGATTGGAGAGTGTTTACATAAAATTAAAAAAATTTAGAATAAAAAGGATACAAGATAAAATAAATAATGATTTAATAATTTTTAATAATTTTTAATAATTTTTAATAATTTTTAATAATTTTTAATAATTTTTAATAATTTTTAATAATTTTTAATAATTTTTAATAATTTTTAATAATTTTTAATAATTTTTAATAATTTTTAATAATTTTTAATAATTTTTAATAATTTTTAATAATTTTTAATAATTTTTAATAATTTTTAATAATTTTTAATAATTTTTAATAATTTTTAATAATTTTTAATAATTTTTAATAATTTTTAATAATTTTTAATAATTTTTAATAATTTTTAATAATTTTTAATAATTTTTAATAATTTTTAATAATTTTTAATAATTTTTAATAATTTTTAATAATTTTTAATAATTTTTAATAATTTTTAATAATTTTTAATAATTTTTAATAATTTTTAATAATTTTTAATAATTTTTAATAATTTTTAATAATTTTTAATAATTTTTAATAATTTTTAATAATTTTTAATAATTTTTAATAATTTTTAATAATTTTTAATAATTTTTAATAATTTTTAATAATTTTTAATAATTTTTAATAATTTTTAATAATTTTTAATAATTTTTAATAATTTTTAATAATTTTTAATAATTTTTAATAATTTTTAATAATTTTTAATAATTTTTAATAATTTTTAATAATTTTTAATAATTTTTAATAATTTTTAATAATTTTTAATAATTTTTAATAATTTTTAATAATTTTTAATAATTTTTAATAATTTTTTTAATAATTTTTAATAATTTTTAATAATTTTTAATAATTTTTAATAATTTTTAATAATTTTTAATAATTTTTAATAATTTTTAATAATTTTTAATAATTTTTAATAATTTTTAATAATTTTTAATAATTTTTAATAATTTTTAATAATTTTTAATAATTTTTAATAATTTTTAATAATTTTTAATAATTTTTAATAATTTTTAATAATTTTTAATAATTTTTAATAATTTTTAATAATTTTTAATAATTTTTAATAATTTTTAATAATTTTTAATAATTTTTAATAATTTTTAATAATTTTTAATAATTTTTAATAATTTTTAATAATTTTTAATAATTTTTAATAATTTTTAATAATTTTTAATAATTTTTAATAATTTTTAATAATTTTTAATAATTTTTAATAATTTTTAATAATTTTTAATAATTTTTAATAATTAATTTTAATAATTTTTAATAATTTTTAATAATTTTTAATAATTTTTAATAATTTTTAATAATTTTTAATAATTTTTAATAATTTTTAATAATTTTTAATAATTTTTAATAATTTTTAATAATTTTTAATAATTTTTAATAATTTTTAATAATTTTTAATAATTTTTAATAATTTTTAATAATTTTTAATAATTTTTAATAATTTTTATTAATTTTTAATAATTTTTAATAATTTTTAATAATTTTTAATAATTTTTAATAATTTTTAATAATTTTTAATAATTTTTAATAATTTTTAATAATTTTTAATAATTTTTAATAATTTTTAATAATTTTTAATAATTTTTAATAATTTTTAATAATTTTTAATAATTTTTAATAATTTTTAATAATTTTTAATAATTTTTAATAATTTTTAATAATTTTTAATAATTTTTAATAATTTTTAATAATTTTTAATAATTTTTAATAATTTTTAATAATTTTTAATAATTTTTAATAATTTTTAATAATTTTTAATAATTTTTAATAATTTTTAATAATTTTTAATAATTTTTAATAATTTTTAATAATTTTTAATAATTTTTAATAATTTTTAATAATTTTTAATAATTTTTAATAATTTTTAATAATTTTTAATAATTTTTAATAATTTTTAATAATTTTTAATAATTTTTAATAATTTTTAATAATTTTTAATAATTTTTAATAATTTTTAATAATTTTTAATAATTTTTAATAATTTTTAATAATTTTTAATAATTTTTAATAATTTTTAATAATTTTTAATAATTTTTAATAATTTTTAATAATTTTTAATAATTTTTAATAATTTTTAATAATTTTTAATAATTTTTAATAATTTTTTAATAATTTTTAATAATTTTTAATAATTTTTAATAATTTTTAATAATTTTTAATAATTTTTAATAATTTTTAATAATTTTTAATAATTTTTAATAATTTTTAATAATTTTTAATAATTTTTAATAATTTTTAATAATTTTTAATAATTTTTAATAATTTTTAATAATTTTTAATAATTTTTAATAATTTTTAATAATTTTTAATAATTTTTAATAATTTTTAATAATTTTTAATAATTTTTAATAATTTTTAATAATTTTTAATAATTTTTAATAATTTTTAATAATTTTTAATAATTTTTAATAATTTTTAATAATTTTTAATAATTTTTAATAATTTTTAATAATTTTTAATAATTTTTAATAATTTTTAATAATTTTTAATAATTTTTAATAATTTTTAATAATTTTTAATAATTTTTAATAATTTTTAATAATTTTTAATAATTTTTAATAATTTTTAATAATTTTTAATAATTTTTAATAATTTTTAATAATTTTTAATAATTTTTAATAATTTTTAATAATTTTTAATAATTTTTAATAATTTTTAATAATTTTTAATAATTTTTAATAATTTTTAATAATTTTTAATAATTTTTAATAATTTTTAATAATTTTTAATAATTTTTAATAATTTTTAATAATTTTTAATAATTTTTAATAATTTTTAATAATTTTTAATAATTTTTAATAATTTTTAATAATTTTTAATAATTTTTAATAATTTTTAATAATTTTTAATAATTTTTAATAATTTTTAATAATTTTTAATAATTTTTAATAATTTTTAATAATTTTTAATAATTTTTAATAATTTTTAATAATTTTTAATAATTTTTAATAATTTTTAATAATTTTTAATAATTTTTAATAATTTTTAATAATTTTTAATAATTTTTAATAATTTTTAATAATTTTTAATAATTTTTAATAATTTTTAATAATTTTTAATAATTTTTAATAATTTTTAATAATTTTTAATAATTTTTAATAATTTTTAATAATTTTTAATAATTTTTAATAATTTTTAATAATTTTTAATAATTTTTAATAATTTTTAATAATTTTCAATAATTTTTACTAATTTTTAATAATATCCATGCCTTTTTACTAGAATGAAAATAAAATGATATTTGTTCAGTAGACTAATATGGCCTACTTATTCGTTCTGTAGTCTGTGCATAGAATAAATATGGTGTAGAAAACAACTATACAGTGTCTTTCATAGATTTATTTTTGTTTGTGTCTAAATAATACTTTTTTATTGATTTTGATCCAAATTTGAACAGACCTGTTAAAAAACAAATTAATCAAAAAACCCCAAATATTTAAAAAGGCGAACAAGTTGATGGATATAAAAAAAATTCAATATATCTGTTTGTAAAATTGAATTAATATTTTTGTATCTATTAAACTTGCTTCTAATATAAATAATGATACCTCACTAATATTCTCACTGCTCTCAGCATGCAATTGGCGATATATTCTTGTTCTATAGAACCTCTAATCTGTGCTCCACCGAAGTTTTGTCTTCTTTTCTGTCTTTCCTCACCTCACCACTAGCTTCACCAGCTAGAGCACAACACCCTAGAATCGACAGGTATGATCTTACCTTCATATCTTTGGAAATATTTTCCATACAAGTTTTTTATGATTATCCCAATACCAAATGGTTTTAGATAAGTAAGGAAACTATGTTACTGTCTGTAATGGAAAGTATTACTAAATTAACAAAAATTGTGCTATAAAAGTAAGAAAATTCAAAATTACTTTTTTCTCAAAGTTAAATATTCAGATGATTGCGAAGCAATAATATTATAAAATAATAATTAACCCTCATGATTTAATTAAAAATCGGATTAAAGTGTAACTAATCAATGAGTTTTGAGACACCTACAATACCATTTATTTGACCACATAATTTAAAATTACAATTCCATTAATCTAAATGGGTCTAAGGAAAACATGAAGTATGTTATATTTAATTTTGTTAGCCTTTCTAATTAATTTAACAAAATGTCAATATAGTAGTGGAAGTGATAAATTTCATAATCTGAAACTCTGTGATAATGATTGTAAAAAAGATGGTATCACAATTTGGAGAGACAGCAGTAATATTGAATACATTAAAAGTTATGTTAAAAAATACACTGATAGTACCAAAGATAATAATAAAATGAAAAGTAACTATTTAAATTATAATTTAAATCCAAAGAAAACTAACTCTAACCAAAATGACATTCAAGAAGAATTAAATAACAAAAGTCGCAATTGTCGAGTAGGATCTAATGACAAAAACATACAAATAGAAGAAAAGAGCGGCAACATTATTATAAAAGAAAATAAGAAAAATAATGGCGGGAAAAATCAAATTATTAGCGACGAATATTTGGATAACAAAATAATAGAAAAGTGGATCAAATATAAAAAACGTGATAATTCCAAAGAAAATATGAATAAAAATAAACAAAGAAAATTAAGGCAAAACCTGGATAACTTGAATCTCGACGGTAAGTATTGAATAATTTTACTTTAATTGATTCATACACCTTTGAATAGATTCAGTGGTTAAAAAAAAGTTTTTTTACGATCACTGTCCAAAGTTGGCTTTTGCGCTTCGAAATACAACCGCAAAGTTGTTTTCCGCGAACTGAAATTAAGTGACAGCTTTGGCACTCGACGCGACGAGCGGAAAACTTGACAGCTTATTTTGCTCGCCTAATTTAAATTAGATATAATATAATAATATTTATTTTTATTAAATGATTTTAAAGTTTTTTGTACTTAGTTTGATGTTTTTTGTTTTATTATCCAAGTTAACATTGACTTTGAATATCAACTCGATTTTTCATGATTAACGTAGATATAGGCAACACATCACACACCCGCTAAAATAGCGTCACAACTCAAAAAATATGGTTTCAAGAAAAAACCGTTTAAAGATAATGCCTGGCCTTACAGGCATTATGACTTATTTTATTGAACATTAGTAAAGTATTAGTAAAAAGAATAACGCCCCTTTAGAAGGTAGGGTGTTTAATTTCTGATAGATCTATGGAATTATCTCAAACATGTGACTTTTTTGAGTTGTAAAAAAGATGGTATCACAATTTGGAGAGACAGCAGTAATATTGAATACATTAAAAGTTATGTTACGCTTTTTCAGCGGATGTGCGACAAAGTTTCAGTTTTTATATCTATTTCTTAAAATAATGTGATCTTAGAAAAAATCTTGTGTGCATTTTTAGCGAAAAGTTTTTTGCCGCTTTTGACAGATTGCCGTGCTCCGCTATGCGGCAAAGTATCACTTTTCGCTCTTAGTACACAAATAGCTATTTATGAGATAACATTTATATACATCAATGTTTGTGACAAATATAAAATGATAAATTAGTCATGAATACAATAAAACAAAAATAAATACAGGGTGTTTCATTCCATATTAAAAAATACTTGGCTCAAAATATGACGATTTAACCTTAAACAATTACAAGAGTGATAAAATTAACCATATCTCAAATAATGTGGTCACTAATGCTACATACATTTAAAGATAAATACAAGTGCGAATAGTTTGAAAGGGTCATCTTCAGGCAAATACATATTTTTTTTTAAATAATGAATAATATGGTTCAATATTAAAGTAACGTTAATGTAATACAAGATAGTATAAAAGGTAAAAATTGTGTAGTGCTAAATAATCATTAAAAGGTACATTAATATATAACTAAAATATCAAATTGGAGATTTCCGCAAGGAAAGGGAAGTGAGAACTAAAATGAAGATAATATAATGCTTGGCATGTTTTATATTATAATTTTCATAGTCTAAAATCCCTATTTTTATTCAGATTTTTTCAAAATTAATAGGATTCGACCTCTGATAGAACTTTATTTTGCTTGTTGATATGATTTTTGTTTTCGAGTGCAGGCAAAAAACGCGACATCGGACGGAAGGACACTTTGGATCAATAATAAAAATTTTAGTTTTTTGAAAGTAATAATAAAAATAAGTAATAATTGTGATAAATCAGCAACCAGTCCAGTAACATTGATGTGAACTGTGATCAGATAAGGACGAACATGAAAAATGTAGACTCCGACGCAGTATAAAATAAAGAATTCGATCCAGAAATACTTTAATCCGAAGACAAAAGCAGGCAGGCACTCTCTTGGTTGGATGGAGGGACCAGTCAAAATCAAGTAAAACGAATGATACGGTATAGTATCAGTTTTGGAAGTGCAAAAGAGTCTTTGGGTTTTAGAAGAAAGGCAGACGTTATGCCTAATGAAGAAAGCCACATGGCACGACTCCATTTTTTAGGATCGACGTGTATGGGTGTAATGACACTTTAAATTATTGTAGAATATAGTTTTTTCTAGTTTGCCCACACGACATTCTATGCAACTATCTTATTCATCGTAATATTTTTTTTTTGATTCCTCATTATATTCTGTCAATAATATCTTCTTGTCTTATTGCAATACTCAGTGGTTTTCGCTCAAAGGTGTAAGGTTTTTAAATAATTTAACTATATTGCTTATATGCATCTTATATAGATTTTGTCGATTTCACTATGGGGTTAACTATGTTATGTTCCAAGAGACTCTGAGAGAGATGGAGGCTGAAACACGAAACATTAACAATGCTTTGGAGAAGTACTATCCAAAGTACAATATACAATGCCTATAAGAAATACTGTCCCCGAGGCTGGTCCAATACGATCAGACGACTACCGCATGGAGGTGTCACGAGATAGATCACCTCAAGAATGTGGCTATAAAATCCTTTAATAAGGCAAGAACCACAAAACTCAAAGAGGACTGGGATACTTACAAATTTAACCTCAGAGAATACAAAAAAATCGTTAGACAAAAACAGAAAGACTGCAATAAAATCGAAGATTTCCTGTAGGCAGCGAGGCTTCAAAAATCTCTCTCAAAAGATCCACACCAAAGCATTGGTGCGCTAATTAAAGAGGATGGCATAAAAACTGCCAACCTCGAAGATACGATCAGACTTCTGCTGTCAACACACTTCCCTGACTCGGTCATCACAGACGTGGCTGACTGGACAGAGGAAGAATACAACCCATCTGTCTATAATTGGCAAACTGCTAAAAACATTGTAGACGATGACAAAATTAGGTGGGCAATATCTCCATTTAAATCTCCAGGACCTGATGGTATCTATCCTGCCCTACTTCAGTAGGGTCTGGAAGAACTCATACCGCACCTGGTGGGTATATTCAGATACTCGTTGGCACTAAGGTATATCCTCAAAAAATGGGGAGAGGTAAAAGTGGTATTCATAACCAAATCTGTCCCAAAAATATACCGACCAATTAGTCTGACATCGTTTTTCATGAAGGCATTGGAAAGGCGAAAGCGCATACATTCTAGACAGACCTACTGATTCAGCCCTTCACCTAGTTGCTGGCCGGATAGAAAGATCCCTGGACAATAAGAAGTCCGCCTTGGGTGTTTTCATAGATATAGAAGGTGCTTTTGATAAAACCACCTTCCCCAAGATAATACATTCACTTACCAACAGGAATGTTCCACAGATGGTTAATGGGTGGATACATAACATATTCTCTAAGCAAGCAGTAAACAAGTGTAGATGTGAATATGAGAGGCTTGGTTGCGAGGCGATATCCACACGGATATGTATATTCAGATCATCGTTGGCTTTGAGGTATATCCTCAAAAAATAGAGAGAGATAAAAGTGATAATAATACTCAAACCTAGAAGGATGGATTACACTGTTCCAAAAATATACCGACCAATTAGTCTAACATCGTTTTTCATGAAGACATTGGAAAGCCTATGCCAAAGGCGCATAATGGATGCGGTGATTACAACACCACTACACCTAAACCAACATGCATACACCCCAGGCAGATCTACTGATTCAGCCCTTCATCTTATTATTGCTGGTCAAATAAAAAGATCCCTGCACAATAAGGAGTCCGCCTTGGGTGTTATAGACATAGTAGGTGTTTTCGATAAAACCACCTTCCTCAAAATGATACACTCACTAACCAACAGGAATGTTCCACAGATGGTTAGTGGGTGGATGCATAACATGCTCACAAAGCAAGCAGTAAACTATAAGTATAGAAGGTGTGAATATAAGCGGCTTGGTTGCGAGGGGATGTCCACAGGGAGAGGTGCTATCATCTCTACTGTAAAATATGGCCCTCAACACCTAATCAGCCGCCTTAATAATGACAGTAGCTACACAATAGCATATGCAGATAACCGAGTCATTCTGCAAACAGGGACTTTTCAGAACATACTCTGCGAAAGAATGGAAGTAGCTTCCAAAATTATAAAACAGTGGTGCAAGGACCATTCACTGTCTATCAATCCCAAGAAGACAGAAATAATCCTTTTCACAAGAAAAAGGATGAAAATGGAAATAAAACCTCCAGAACTCCTCATTAAGAAAACAGAATCAAAAGGGCATACATTGCTTATGAACAATGCCGCCGAACCATGGGGCACACCTGGAATTTCTCCCCCAGAGTCGTCGCATGGACATACGGTGCAGTTGTCTGGGTACCGAAAACCTAAAAAATTGACAGCTACCCGTAAACTAGAACAAATTCAAAGAACAGCATGTCACAATATAATAGGAGCCATGAAAACAACATCGACTAGAGCCATGGAAGTCATTCTAAATCTCACTTCCCTTGATATTTACATCAACCAAGTTGCTCTGACGACAGTGACAGGCCACCGCACAGTTAGAATAGAACCTGTTGTAGGATCTGGTGAGGGGAGACGTCGCTTTTGGCAGGAGGCGCTCGGTACGTTCTTGCTGCTTCAAGCGAACGTCTCACCGATATTTATCTTCCATAAGTCATACAAGGTTATAATAGAACAAATAGAAGAGTCGGAAGTGGCAGGTACGATTCATATCTACACCGACAGTTCTAAAACAAAACAAGGCACAGGATGTGGATTATAATCCAGATCCTTAAATATAAACATAACATGGGCTGTGAGTAATAGTGCCAGTGTAGTTCAAACAGCAAAGCAGCAAAAGAAATCACCAGAAACATTAACACTGAAAGGAACATGCTCATCTATATAGATACCAAACAACCACTATTTACCCTGAACAGACCACGAATTTACTCAGGGTTAGTACTAGAATACTTTGGCAGAAGTATCTATCAACAATGTGGTCACCTTAAGATAGATCAAAGGTCACGCCACATCGAAAGGTAACCGTTTTACTGATTCACTGGCCAAGAAAGCAGCCAGCCAAATACTTTTTGGACCTGGTTCTTCTATTGTCTATTGGTCTGACAAAATTGGTAGTGACAGAACTAATTAAAGAACATTTACTTGTAAAATTTGAGGAAAAATGACTGGACAGAATCTGCGCCCAGTCACAGGCATTCTGACTGTGCATTTCCAAGTAACGAAGCATTTTCTTGTCATGGAGTTGTCAGAATCCGCACTCTCCAGGGGGTACGAACAAGAAGATGAGACCATCGAGCATATCCTCTACGATTGCTCGACGCTCTCAATTATTAGAAGATTTGTGTTCGGCAAGTATCGGCTAACACCGGCTGATATAAGAGAAGCACTTCTTGGCGACGTTCTCAACTACAATAAACCTGTGGGCTGGCTTACGAGCTAGGAGGTGCCTATCATCTTAGGAGGATGCACAATGGGCCTAGTGAGGTCTAAGTGCCGTGGGAGTAACCCACCCTTTACACGTTACAGATACAGAGATGAGGTGTTAATACACTGCAACCTAAAAGACGTATTGTGTCCCCTACTTCTGTCGCTAATGCTGTAAAGAAATGTCGCATTGCCTATAACGATCCTTCCAATCCAATCTTCTCAAGGAAGTGTAGGATTTTAATGGAGATTTCTTCTCCTCACAGAATCTGCACTCACTGTCTTCTACTTCTTACAGTTTACTAAGGTGTCCTTTGAGTCGACAATGCCCAGTACGGATCCCTGTTATAATACTAGCCTGGCCTTGCTCAGGCAGATACAGGCGTTAACTAAGTTTCAACCACTACTGTAAGCCTCTGGTAATATCAAAAAACTTTTACAGTAATAGTATAAGCAAAAAAATATTGGAAGATATCTCAACAGAGGGCAAAATCATTTTTAAATAATACACCATGTATGTTTTAGGTCAAATAGGCCTAATAGTCCTTCGGCTTGGTACGTTATAGTTTCCATTTACTTAACTCTATTGCTTTCTGTTTCCAGTTATTGATCTTCAAAGACTTTTTACTTTAGTGCCTTCTTTATACATCTTACGTTGGTTTGTCTAGTTTTCTTTTTTCTTTTATGCCATATTACATTATCCTTCTGAGTATTCTTTCGTACTTCATGAGTTCAATGTACTTCCAAACAATGTTATGGATCTTAATATTATTGATATTCTGAGTTTTGTTCCTCTGGATAACAATTTGCTGAGTAAATGTTTAACTTCATGTACCTATACCTTTTGTTCTTTCAGTTATTTGCTCTCTAATGGGTTAGACTCGAACTTTTTACTATTACCAACTTCTTTTTTGGTCCATGTCTTATATTTGATCATATATATTTTAAAGTCTAACAAAGTAAGATTAATTTTGGAATTTCGTAACACGCTCAAATTATCTTTGATGTTTAGGTGGTCACACTTTAAATAACGTAAGAATGTTTGTCAAATTATCAAGCATTTTCTGAGAAGGCGCTGTTTCGTTTATATCTGGCCAACCGGTTTAAATTACCGAATATTATCCAGTTCTATTATTATCATTATTTCTATCATATTTTGCGAAAAAAATTATGTTCTCTTCAATCATAACAAAAAGGATCAGTAGTTTTAAAAAAAAAAAAAAAAAAAATTAAACTTGGTATGTATTAATTTTTTTTGAAAAGCACTCACTTTAATAACCTATAAATATATAGGATTTTTTTATAAAGTAAGAACCTACTGTATTTTTGGCAGTTCAGAGTTCTTGTGCTTATGGCGAAGGGAACATTTGAGTTTGGTAAAAATGTAAGACGCAATAATATATTGTGTTTTAAGTGTTGAAATTCAATGAGTGCCTAATTACTTTACAACACATATTACGTACTATACTTTACCGCCAACTACTTAGATAGATAAATAAGCGTGTAAATACGGTTAGTACACTAACCGACGTATCATGCAAAATAAAGATGAGACGCTTAATTAAATGTGGACCTTAGATAAAAGAGACCAGAGATATAACATACACCGGTGTTTAACCTGCGCAAATGTTGCCAGTTTCTAAAGAAAGGTTAACGGAGTGGGGGTACTGGGCAGGGACTCGAACTCTGTGACAGGGACCGGACTTTGTTTATTAGCATCATAATGAACTATTAGATTTATTTAAAATATACGTTTAATGGAATTTTGTATTATGAAATAAATTTAACGTGATTTTTTAATATCAAACAGATGCCACGATATTTTATGTAAAGAGAAGACCTTTAATAGAATATTTCGTTAGCTATTATTTACTATGGACTTTTCTCTAAGAGACTACAGTAAAATGTTGAAATAGAATATTGTTAATCGAGTAAGAAATGGTACTCATTGTCTAAGAGTATTATAAAAAAGCATGTGCGCAGGCGAATACTGCAAATCAAAACTTGTGAGTTGAACATTATATTTTTTCTACGACTATCACATAATATTAAAATTTAGTCAAAATGAGAAAATGCTGTTTTGTATTATAACCTCAGAAAAAGATATATTAAAGCTTGTTTCTTTAGGAATATTAATTAATATAGAGGATGCGTCACATAAAACTCTAGAAATGTATATGTCTGAAACCAGATAACATTTTAAAATTTAAACCTATTAAAAGTCATTTGGTCGCTAGGAGTGGGTGATTATCGAAATAAATTATTGATCATTAATAATAATCGATTATTTTCGATCAATCGATTATTTTCAAACAATCTATTTTTGTTCGTATTTCCTTTAAAGTTGACTACTTGATCATCTTTAAAAAATAAAAAAAAATAGATTAATTAAAAAGCCAATTAACCGATAAATCAGTGTTTACAAAAAATAATAAACGAATTATCGTTTATTTTAAATAATCGATTATTTTTAATTTCTATTTTTTTTTTTTCGTATTTCCATTGAAACATTATTCGATAATCTTTGAAAAATCTAAAATAATCGATTAATCGATTTAAAAAAAAAAAAAGAATTATTTCCTTTAAAATCAATTATTCGATCATTTTTGAAACATCGAAAATATTCGATTAACGGAAAATAACCAATTAATTAAGAAGATTCTACGATAAATCGATTTTCCAAAAAAAAAACTGAATAATTATTGATTATTTACAAATAATTCTTTTCTTTTTTATATTCCTTTTAAAACTGATTATTTAATTTTCTTTGAAAAATCGAAAATAATTGATTAATAAAAAGCTGATTTACCGATAAATCAATAATTCTATAAAATAACCGAAATATCGATTATATAATATAACCGATTATATTCAATCAATCGATTATTTTTATATAATCTATTTTTTGTATTTTAAAACAAATTATTTGAATACCTTTGAAAAATCTAAAATAATCGAATTATCTAAAATAATCGATTAATCGAAAATAATCGATTAATTTAAAAAGTCTATTAAACAATAAATCGATTTTTACTAAAAAATCGATTATTTTCAATAAATCGAATATTTTGAATAAATCTACTCTCTTTTTGTAATTCCTTTATAATCGATTATTCCATTACCTAAAAAAAACGAAAAAAATTTATTAAAAATGTTCGGTTATTCAAAAATAATCTATTAAAGATAATCGATTAATTATAACGGATAAATCGATTTTCATGAAAACGATAAATCGATTATTTTTGTAACCCCTATCGGTCGCATGCTTTTATCAGAGCATTTAGCTCCAAAATTTGGAGATTCGGATTTATTGATCCTATTATCTTTGAAACCGCATTCGATTGTATAATAAATATTGCTAGAATTTAGATTTTTTTTAGTAAACGAAGATATTTTTCGAGTTGTTTAGGGGTTTATAATGTAACATTTTACTAATAATATGACTAATTTCCGTAACTTTAGTATTTTTTGCTTATACTAGATCATATTGCGCGTTTTACTTTGTTTTAAGATTCAAATGTCACTTTTGATTTAACCGCAAATAAAATAAACCTTGAAATTTTAAGTAGGTGAACCTGTATTTCATCTAATATTCTTGTAAAAATATCTAATAAAGGGCTAAAAACCACTTTTAGTAAATATTCTTATAAAACTACTTTTTAAAAACAAAATTTCGTTAGTAACAATGCCTATTTACTTCTTATTTAGATTAAATATTTATTGAAACCCCTTAATGCGGATCTGAAGTATTCAGCTCAAAGAATCATGGCGACTTTATGTCAAAACGTCAACAAATATTTACCGCTGAAAACGAATATATTTCTTATTTTTCATAACATTGACACATATTATTTGTATATACAATTTTTCACCATACATCGTGGCATTTTCAACTTGAAATTGAATAACTAAAACACTTTAAATTGCTAATAACACCAACAAATAATTCAAAAACGGCGGTCCATAAATGATTTACTCACGCGGAGACAAGCAAAGAATAGAAATTTCGGAGCAATTCGGGTGACGTCGTGAACACAATGATTTTTAATTGGTGGGTTACTTAGGTTTGGAATAGACAACATGCGCAATGTGCAATGTTACATCTCCGGTCTCTTTTATCTAAGATGTGGACGTAGAAGTATAAAGAGAGTAACTTGGTTTAACCACGCCCTTTCGATGGCATGGATGAGATAATCAGGTCCGCAGTCGGCGACGTTTGACGTTATTATTCTATTTGTCTATTAAATAGCTCCTAGAGCCAACTGTATATTCTGTAATTTTTATTTATCATTCTTTTTGTCTACCGTGCTTTTTTATTACCTTGCGGTTTGTTTACTGGTTTTTAGCTGTAGGAGATTTTGAGATAGAGTTAGATTTGTCTTTAAACAAAACGATTAGTTATAATTAACCATGATACTTTGAAGTACAGCGGAGATATGGGTCCAGAAGAATGCACAATTTAGTTTTTGCCTCTTTTAGAATATTAAATTAAAACAATCTCTTTAACAATAATTATTGTAATGTTCCGAAAATGTCAACTTTTTATTATTATTTACAATTATTATTCTTTCCACCAAAAATGCAGGTGGGGAATTTTAGAAATATAGATTCACAAAGATGGTTAAATATTATTTTCCATTATAAACTGATTCATGATATTGAAATAATTAAAAACCTATTTAAAAAAAAAATATGACATCTGAATTAAATATTTCTAGTCCTAAAGTACAAAATACATTCTTTTTATCATCTTTAGGTCATGATATATAGCCATTGTTAATTTTTAAATTGTCACTAATGACTAATGAGATGATTCTAAATATTTTTTTAGCTTCACAAGTTGTAGAAGAACTTTCAAAAATTGACCCTGGACCAGAAGGTAAGTTTTTTTTCAATTTCATATAAAAATGTTTAATTTCAGTCTTTCAAAAGATATGCTGTCAACAATAGGCTTATGTGCCGATAGCTAGAACCTATCAGCAACAAATCTACGGCGTTTTTTACTGTCAATAATTTGACACTTTTTAGGAACAAGTTTTACAATTGCCATAGGGGCTTAGCTAAAAACGTATATCAATATTTTTATGTTTTTTTTTTATATATAATCTTTCTTTTCTAAAAATAACATGCGTATAGGTAGAAAAATGTTTTGAATAATTGGTACTTGTTCAAATGGTACCTTAGAGGTAAATAATCTTATCTCCTATCTTATAGATGTGGAGAAAATGAGGTTCAAAGTTGGAAATACCACTTTTTATCTGATTGAAAAATGAAACCTACCATTTTTTTTTCAAACGTACTACATTAAAAACTAGTACTTAGGTATAAAGATACAATGTTCTAATACTAAATAATATAAGCTTTAAGTATTTTAGAGAGAGAACTGCAATCACCAAAACTGGAGACCGATTCTTTACCTCTAAGATATAGATATCTTTATTTAAAAAGATCATTTCAATGCATTGATAACATTTTAAATTTAACAACAATCATTTTAAACCCGTGGTAGATACAATTTTAATTATGTCAGCGCTAATGCTTAAATTTACTGGAAAATTGGGCATTCCAAACAAATGAAACTCGTTGTTAAGGTTTGGTATGTCTAAAGGGTTGCGACATACATGTAGTCTATCTACAATACGTGAAATCATAATTAATGGATTACATTTTAATATTTTATGTCGAGCACAATGAAACTATTATTTTTAAACAACCGCTTATAGATTTTTTATAAATTGACTACTATTTCAAATAAAAATAGCGGCCCAGATAGAAAAAGGCTATGTCGCAACCCCCTTAGATTTAAGATCCCTTCCTACTGGCAACTATACTTCAACAGGTCGTTGGAATGCCTAATTTCCATAAGAGAGATAAAAATAATTTTAGGCTGCAATTACGTTTTTCTAGGAAAACAAAAACCGTTAAAAGTACATTCTTTTTGCTACCAGAACAGGGCCTCTATCCTTGGCTACCGTTTTCTAAAAAACGTATACGCTTTAGCAACATACAAGTTATTCGCTATTCTCGATATTCCTGGGCGGCTATCCTCGACAATCGCTAAAAAAACGAATTGTTTTCGAAAGTGAGTGGTTGAAAAGCGAGTAGTTTTTGAAATCTATATTCTTGACTGGCGTTCGATGAGCATTCGCTTTTTAAAACGTGTACGTTTTTAACAAGCAAATAATATGTCTGGCATCACTGTAAACTGTCTATATCGCTGAATTCAAGTAATGTGCAGGCCATAAAAAATAAGGATTATGTAATTTAATTACAACAAACTAATTGTAAATTTATCGAATGATGATTTTGTCTAATCACATAATATATCAATGTTCAGGATAAACTAAATCGTTACTTTTTGGCAGAAAAATAGCTATACGGGTGCAGTCGATGCAAGCTATAATTCTAGGAAAATCGTACGTCATAAAAACCTAGTTTTTATGGTACAAAATTAATTTAAATAATAACTTTACTTACCTCATTCAGTTCTTTAATACTTGTGGCAATTTTACAAAATTGTTAAAATTTCTGGACACAACGTGTGACTAACTAATTCCCACTTGCAAGAAACCGCAAGCAAATAAAACATATATGAATTAATAATTAAATTCTTACACGGTAAGATATAAGAAATATTCATTTCCATAGCCATTAAATTCAAAAAATGGATACTGCCTCTGCATGTCTGAATCTTTCATCATTCTTATCTTCCAAGTTTTCTAATTGTACTAATTATTGTATTAATAATAATTGAAATAATTTCTCAGCTATTAGACTTTTTTTAGTATGTACTGCAAACCATATTTGTAAGAAATTAGATACTTTTGTAGGTATTAATAAAAAGTAGAATTTGTTAAAATCAATCAATCATCCTAAAAGTGACATATAAGTGACATTGACTAAATCCTTGAAAACATGCACGTTTTATCAAAAACGTGTAAAAAATTATGCTCGCTGTAAAACGTTTTAAAAACGTACATGCTTTTAAAACGAATGTCGAGAATAGCGAATAGCTCGTATGTTGCTAAAGCGTATACGTTTTTGGGGCCCTATCCTCGGCAATCGTTTTCTAAAAAACGTATACGCTTTAGCAACATGCGAGCTATTCGCTATTCTCGACATTCGTTTTAAAAGCGTGTACGTTTTTAAAACGGGTGTTTTACAGCGAGCGGAATTTTTCACACGTTTGTGATAAAACGTGCATGTTTTCAAGGATTTAATCAATGTCACTTATATGTCACTTTAAGGATGATTAATAATATTGATTGATTTTAACAAATTTTACTTTTTATTAATACCTACAAAAGTATCTAATTTCTTATAAATATGGTTTGCAGTACTAAAAAAGTCTAATAGCTGAGAATTTCTTTCAATTAATACAATAATTAGTTTAGTACAATTAGAAAACTTGGAAGATAAAAATGCTTTACCTCAGATTTACCAGAAGGGGGCACAATAGATCTTTTAGGTCGCAGTGTATTAACACCCCATTCTCAACATAACATAAAGATTCAGACATGCAGAGGCAGAATCCAATTTTTTAATTTAATTGATATTGAATGAATATTTTTTATATTTTACCGTGTAAGAATTTAATTATTGTATGTTTTATTTATAGATAATAATTTGCTTGCGGTTTTTTGCAAGTGGTAGTTCAAAGCTCTTCTATATTACACGTTGTGTCCAGAAATTTTAACAATTTTGTAAAATTGCCACAAGATATTAAAGAACTGAATGAGATTAGCAAAGTTTCTAAGTTAATTTTGTACCATAAAAACTAGGTTTTATGACGACGATTTTCCTAGAATTATAGGTTACATTGACAGCACCCGCATAGCTGTTTTTCCGCCAGTGATTAACGATTCAGTTTATCCTGAACATTAGAAATAATCAGCATTCGATAAATTTACAATTGGTTTGTTGTAATTAAAATACATAATCCTTATTTTTTATGGCCTGCACATTACTTGAATTCAGCGATATAGACAGTTTACAGTGATGCCAGACATATTATTTGCTTGTTAAAAACGTACATGTTTTAAAAATCGAATGCTCATCGAACGCCAGTCAAGAATATAGATTTCAAAAACTACTCGCTTTTCAACCACTCACTTTCGAAAACGGTTCGTTTTTTAGTGATTGTCGAGGATAGCCGCCCGCTTCGATATTGTGAGATTTTTTAAATTCATGGCGTAATGTACAAATTAAATTATAAAATATATTCTTTACTGTACTTTATTTATAGGGAGTGGATTAAAGAGAATAACTGAAGTATCGGTTAAAAAATGCTTGTCATTTATAAACAAGGACATGTAGCGAAAATTCAGATACGATATTTTGACGTCTGAGCGACGATATATAATAATTAATTGCAGATATCCGACATCCGGTTGGCAAAAAGCTACAAATTTTTCGAATCAATAATATAATACTTTATATTTAGATACTTTTGGACGTTGGTATAACTATTTATATTGGTTTCAATATTCTAGGGCCACGCCACAATGTACATTGTAATCCTAATTAAACTTTTTGTTAAACCTACTTTTTCCTCTTTTTTTTTCAGTGGAATTGGAAAGTGAAATAGGAACGTTCCTAGAAAATGAACATTTATTAGGTCAGTATTAGTATATACATTTTATAAAATGTTCAAGATAATTTTTTTATAAAAATAAGATAAACTTAATATACTTTGTAACAAACAAAACAGAAATATTACAAAATCAAAATTTTAATAAAAATTAATTATTTGCGATTTTTGTGGCACTTTCTACAATATTCTCAAATTAATTCAGGATAAATAATTACAAGTGATTTGAGAGTCTAGGGAAAAATTTAGTAAAAAATTCCCCAAAGTATTAAATTTATACATTTATTCTTCTTTTTTTTTTCAGTTACAATGTTAGCATTAAAAAAAGGTGACGATGATGAACAAGGTATGCAATTTATTTATTTATTTTAAATTACAATGTAATTTCAAGTGAATAAGAAAGTGGGGAGGGACTTATTATTTTTTTTTAATAAATGCCCCAAGTAAAGCATTAACGATTATTGTAGTCTGCACTTTAAGGTCCCTATGAAGATCAGAATTGCGGCAGTACCAGGGTGTATCGACGATGTTCCTTAATACTTTATTCTAGAAACGCTGAATAATTTGGTTGTTACTTTTAAAGGCACAGCTCCAAATCTAGATACCATACGTCCATACGTGTTTCAATAACTGCATATTTATTGTACGTAGACAATTTTATTTTTTCCTAACAACCAATACATTCTTTTGTATTTTATATCAAGCTCTTTGCGTTTTTTTTAATATAGACTTTTTAGCATCAAGTGTCATACCTAAGAAAAATGAATTTGAGTGTCATTTATTCGCTTTATCATCTTTGGCACTTACTTTAGTCTAAAGGACACATTAATAAAATTGGCCATTTTAACAATAGCTTTCCGTGTAAGCATTTTCCAAATGTCTCCGGTAATCAGGTCAAATTCAGGAGCCTTTTCGGATTTATATTTGTCTTCTTGTAATAGTTCCATCCAGTCTTGAAGATCTTTATCATTATCGGGTTGGAAGGTACTCTCTAAAAATGTTCCGCAGATCTGTTTGTTTTTTCAAATTGTTTCAGGCCCAGCTTCCATCTCTCTTTCTGATTCTACGTGTTTATTATTTACTGTCTATGATGTCTTAACGTTTTTTTTTTATGTAGTTTAAAAAACGAATGTTAGGTGTGGGTCGATCAGCGCAACTAAATTCAGGATAATTTGACTTGTTCTCGGACCATAAGTCAACCTCAAATTATGTTAAAATGAAGAAAAAGATAAATTTAGACAATTTAAGATAAGCGCCACAAAATTTTCCCAAAAACTTGGAAAGAATAAACTAGATTTAAATGCCCTAGCTCTAATATCGAGCCAGGGAACTGGAGCTAAAGGAGGTACTACGCTGTATATATTACTGCTCCGAAGATACTAACCTGGACGATACTTAAATGTACTTGGAAGGTACTTGGTTCTGACTTCTGAATACAATAAGAAGGTTATCCATATCTCAAATGTGATATATCCGTAAACTCTTAAAGTGTTACTTTAGATATTGTAGATGACGGTTTTGTTAACCGACTTCAATAAAGGAGGAGGTTCTCAATTAGTCGGTATATATTTTTTTTATGTATGTTCAGCGATAATTCTTTAACACGATGTCTGATTTTAATGATTCGTTTTTGTTAGAAAGGAGATACCTCAGGGGTGGTCCCATATAAATTTGGTCAAAATCTAATAATTGGGTCCATAAGAAAATCTTCAGACTCTCAATTTTTTAGTATGTTCAGCGATAATTCTTTACCACCTTGTCCGATTTCTATGATTCTTTTTTTGTTAGAAAGAGGATACGTTAGGGGTGGTCCCATATAAAATAAATTTGGTTGAGATATGGTGATGGAATCTGCACGATTTTAAAGTCGAATTTTAAAAATTACTTTTAATACTTGTTGTGTTCAACGGTTCCATTAATCAGGCTTCGGCTTTCTTACAATACTTAAGTAGTCTACACTCACGCATTTAATTTACCATTGAATTTGAATTAAATAACAAACTACCATTCTTACATTTACTGATTATTAAAAATCCGGACACACTGAAACTGGAATTTGAAATATACCGTAAACCTACTACCATCGACTCTATGATTAATTTTTATTCGAACTACTCATTATCTCATAGCCTTGCGGCCTTTAACAGCTTTTTTTTAGAACTTTTTCTAGACCTATGTCTGAACAATCATTCCAAATTAAAATAAATATTATTAAACAAGTTGCGATCAACAATGAATTTCCCTTAGATTTAATTAGTAGAATATATTTTAAACTTTTTAACAAATTCAAACTTGCCTTCACTACTTCCCTCCCGCCGTTAAACAGGATATTAAATTTGCAGGTTTTTTTTAACATATACTGGCACTTTCTCTTATAAAATCTTTAATAGTTTTAAAACATACAGTGTTACAATTATTGCTTTCAAAACCAACAATAATTTAGGTAGTCATTTCGTTAACACTAAAGATTTAGTTAATTTTCTACATAAACCTGGATATAGGCTTGACTGCTCTGATTGCAATGCTGCCTATTATGGCCAATCTGGTAGAAGACTCGAAACACGAGTAAAAGAACACTTAAAACCACTGATCTGTATTATTTTACTGGATAGGATATAGCCCCCTAAAAAACGTTCCGAAAAATTGGCCGATTTGGGCAAATAATATGGCGGACCGGATGTTATTTAACATAACCTCTATTTCCATTTGTCATCACATTTGTCATTTAATTGTGTCAACAAGTTACGACGAGATGTTTTTTTTATTTATGTAGGTAGTATCGGATAGCATTACTATGATATAAACAATAAACGTTCTTTCGTGAAGACACAATATGCTTCACGTTT